TGCTACACACGGCACAAAACACAACCAGGGACCCAATCCTTCAAGTTTTCTGGTGCTTTAATCCCTAAACGCTTTGGAAATTCATTAGGATCCAAGAACTCCCCACTCTGTGGGTCTAAAAAAACACCAAAACCCCAACAAAAAAATCCCAAACATTTTGGATGTTTGAACTTTCAGCACCAGGCCCATCCCTGCTGTGCAACAGAGCGAGGCAGAAGGTTTGTTTGCATTACTTCTGCTAAGCATGTGTTTATGGTTAAGCCCATGTTTAAGTACTTTGCTGAGTCAGAAACAGGCCTGGGAGAGGTAAAGTGGCTTTATAGAGATGGACAGTGCCCACCACTTAAAGAAAACAACTCCCAGGGTTGTAAATTTATATTTTTGCCTAATTGGTTCCCCTACACATTGAGCTCTGCTCCATTTCTAATGCTGCCATAGCAGCCAACTGCTTTTATTTCTTTTTCTTTCATCATTTCATTTATTTCATCTTCATTTTTTATTGTAAGAAGAAAAAAAATCGTCTCAGAGCTACATTTTCCTGTTGACAGAAGATGTTACTCCTGAAAATCCCTAATTGCAGGGAAGGCAGAGACTCCTCTTGCTGCCTCAGCCCCAAGTGCCACCTCCTGTCCACTCATTCCAGTTCCCTGCCTGTTCCCACACTGGGAATGGATACCTGCCTTGGCTCAATTAACTTGTCATTTAATTTAGCCTTAATAAGGCAGTTGCACACTGAACACCAAACAGGTTGTTTGTTTACATAAGATTAAGGAGACTGGTACTAATTACATACATTTTATCTTTCTGTATTTTCTTTATTAAAACACTAGTTAGGACATGATGCACTCATCAGTGTCAAAGAGCTGCTCAGCCCAGGCATCTGCAGAGTCTGAGTTTTATTTGCACCTTTTTCTTCCTGATTTTTGTCTAAAAAAAACCCAGGCCACAATGGTTTTGGTCCAGGGATTAGCAAGCAGCCTGTTTCACACCACTGTGACCACTGCAATAGCTCTAACAACACAAATGCAACTCAGTTGGCATTTCTGCAGTTAAAATTAATTCATGCAGCACTGTACCAGAGTCTCCAGGAGGTCAGGACAGAGTCTGTTGCCTGATCCAGAGCTAAATTTCAATCCTCCTGATGTTCAGTGGATTATCTGTATTTGGTATGTTGACTCAGATTAATCTGTTATTTATGGTAAAAAAACTGTAGTAGTAACAAGTATCCTTTAATGGGCCTTTAGTTGGGTATCATAAGAGTACATTTACCTGTTAAATCTAAATTGAATGAGTGGATGAGAGAGGAACTGGACAAATCCTCCATAACACTGGGCAGAGCTCCTGGGGTTACTCATTCTTTTGTCCTCAGCCAGACTGAGGAACTGGTGAGAATGACCCCTGAAGTTTTAAAAATGCTCATTGTCTTGAAAAAAAAAACCCAAAGGGAATCTTTACCTTTTCCTCCCCCATTTCTTCACTTCAGCTCTAACTGTTCCATGCCCACTTTATTCTTTGCTTCCCCACTGAAACCAGATGCTCCCCAGCAGCAACCATGTTTAGAAACCTTCACACAGATGACCCTGCCAAGGCCACTGCAGCAAAGGTTGGGTACACAGCAAGATTCTGCTTGGTAGCAAAAGACATGGAACAAATTGCATCTAGGAGATGAAGCGTGAGGAGTGATTTTAAATCTTGATAAACTACAAATATCCAGAACGATGAGGTGGAACAGACTGAGAGTTGAGACATGCTGCCTGTGAATGTCAAAATGATGAGTGGGGACAATATGAACACACACACAAACACTGTTCCTAGGAAAGATCAAGCAGAGGTGGACAGAAGAGAATGAGGAGAGTAAACATGGCCCCAATCGACAGGCAGGTCCCAAGTGTTCACTTAGAAGGGAAAAATAAAAAAGCTATTCACTGTTTTTCTTCCAAGCAGTGCAATGAATATTTAAAAGTCACTTCTCATCGAGTATCTAAAATTCAAATGCAACCTTTATCCTTTATCTCTGCAAAAATCTTTAGCATTACAAGCTGATGCCATCTATTGTACTGAATTTCAGCTAAATTGTCAGTAAATGGTATGAGCTGTGAAATATTAGATAACGACTCAATACAGTAATTCAGGCTAAGAATTGATCATTAGAGTATTGTATCTGGGTAAGAATATAGGAAGGATCTAGGGGAAAGGCAAGTGCTGAAGAAAACTGGGCTTTGGTGAGCCCACAACTCCCTGCCTGGATTGGCTGATTGACTGATTTACACCTCTGCATTCATATCTCTCCACACCTCTGCACTCATACCTACCCCAGCAGTATTTTGGGAGGTGATAGCTTCCACAAGCCAAACTTCATTGCCAGATACATTCCAGAGGTGACTCAAGGCAGAACCAATATTCTTTCTTATTACTTTGAGTTTTCAGAATTGCCTAGAATGGTGGCTTTTCCTGTGCTGTCCACCTTCAATCACTGATCCCTGGCTGCACTGTCACTGGTGCAAGCACATCACTGCCACAGCCAAAGAAAATATTGTTTCTAAAAGCAGAGTTTGTACTTCAACCCAAACTTCCTGGCCCATTCCTTGTGTTTGAACAACACGAGGAGTTCTATGTGTGTAAATTCCTGCCTGGCAAAGAGCTTTATGCTGCAGATACAAAATGTCCTAGATGCTCTACACATCATATTGGGATTACAGAAAATAACGTTTCCATGTTGATAAGTATGGCTCATCTAGCCCAAATCTAAACTTCACATTTCTTCTTGATGAAATATCCTGCTCATGTTGAGTAAAGACAAAAGCTCTAAGTGGTTCTTCTTAAAACAGGTCTCTGTTCCTTGAGAAAAGCCACTCTGATGTTTCAAGTGGAGGTAAAGGGAGAAAATGAATTGATATGGATATTTAAGCATGGGGGAACAACCTTGTGTATGTTCAAGCCATAGATCCAAACACACTAAATGCACAGAATGTGGGTGATGACAATGGTAAGTGAGCTTTCCTGCATTACCAGAATCTCTCTCCTCCACCTTCATCTTCTGTGCTTCACCCATCATTTTCTCCTCCAGGCAGATGGGTTCCTCAAGTTCTCCAGCACCACCTCCAACATAACTAAGGGAACCTCCTCCCTGACTCCTAGCTCCCATCAAGTCACAACTTCTGTAGTGACTGAGTCTTCCAGACCTCTGCCTCCACTAGAGAGGAGTGGCCCCCAAGGTGGAAAAAATAGAAAGAGAAATGGCATCATAGATTCTGCGTGCAAAGGGAGGGCATGGAAGGATTGCAGAAACAGCTGCAACGTTCACTCCAGCAGTCCTTACATCTGAAAGCTCATTAGTGTTCTTCTGGAGTGGTCTTCTGCCTATAATTGTATCCACCAAACAACTACCAAGGAAGGTCAACAGGGACAGCCTCACGACTTGGCAATATCTTTCAACTTATTACTTTTAATGGGACTTGGGCTTTTGGTAGCAGCTTCATAACAAACATTCCCCAGGACTGGAAGAGGAAATCCACCCCCCAGTGCATTGTTAGAGCCAAATAGAATCAATTCATCTATGCAGCTTCATTATCTCTCATTAAAGCATAGCAAGAAGCTACTCGCTCGCAGCTCGTGGCATTTAATTGCCTGAGCCATATTTAATAATAAACACTTGCTTACAATTGTATCTCCCAGCCTGGCCTGTGTTTAGATTTAAAGCTGCCCTTGCCTACATGCTTTAGCTGATAGAGAAGTGACTGTTCATAGTATTTAGAGATCAACTTCACACAAGAAAAGGCAGACACTGGATTTATGGAATGAGCACCTGCTGCAGAGCCTTTAGTGATCCCTGGGACACCAATCCCAGCAAACACATTTGCATGTTCCCAGCAACAACAAAGGCTGGAGATACCAATGGCTGAGAAAACTATTTCCCCAAACTGTCAGCTCTCTGAGGCATGCAGATTAATGCAGGGCACGGAGAGCTCTGGGTGTTCAAGAGTTCCAAGCTGGAGAGAAAGATCTGATAAAATGCATTTCCCTCAGTGAAAGTCAAACGTTTGAATCCCATCTGTTTGCTCTGAAGTATCAAGTCAGCAATCTTAGAAGATAAGGAGCATCATTAAGACACAGAAAATAGATGAAAAGAACACCAGTTAACCAGCTTCTCAACTCTCTGGCTGCATAATGTTTTAAGAAAGATCAGCAGTTCCACACTGCTCCTCTTGATACAAAAGACATACCAATACATCTTCATATTTATGAAATAGAGATTTTTTTAAAAAATAATTATGAAACAAAAGCTTCACCACCAGTGAATTCTGCAGAGATCTGAGTGATGCCAGCACACCTAACTGCCATCACATCCTGTGTGCAGTAGGATAGGAGCCCAGTGAGACCCAAGATCTCACTGGCTATTTATTTTTCCTTTCCTCAGCAGCACTTGGTATTAATTTGCCTGTATTTCATACAACACAGAACTGTTGAACAAGGAAACAGATGGAGTCATACACCCAGAGCAGAAGGACTCAAAGTTCTGTTGTATCAAACTTTCTCCCATCAATCCTTAAACAGAAACATGCTTCTAATACTTAATTCAACTATTCTATCTAAGACAGCATAAACATTTTTAGGTCCCTTGTATGCTCTGTATGAAAAAAACACTTAATGTACAGCACTCTCTGGACACCAAGAACTGGGATGCTGCATAGAATCACTAAGTAGAGGTTGCTGAAGGTGTCTTAAATTCTCCCAAGCCTAAAATCCTTCAAATCACACAGGAGATGGACACTGGTATGAGCTCACACTGCAGATGAAAGACATTCAACAGTGGCAACTACTCAGAAAGAGGCAACGTGTGGATGGATGCTCAGCACACAGAAAGGGTAACAGGGTGTGTGTACAGGATGATCAACACACACAGAGTGCAACACGGGCTGTACACAGGAGACAGGAAACACAAAACACCAAAAAGACAAACCCATTTCATCTCACTGCACCATAAAACTTAACCCACATACCTGGTTTTGGCACAGAATTGGTCACAGACTGAGGAACTTTGTCGTTAATTAGTTCGACGCACTCACTAGGAAAAAATCCAACCTGTAGTAAGAACAAAGAGAGAGGCAGAATATTGAGTGTCATGGTTTGGAGATCTCAACTCTTAAGGCAGCAACTGCTCAACCTTTTCTTTGAACTCTGCTTGCCTGCTGCTCCATAACATCATCCAATGTAAAACAGCCAGCACAAGAGAAATATTTTTTTCAAAATGATGCAGCCAAAAATCCTCCAAACCAAAGAGTTAGTTCTGTAAAATCTGGTTATAAGGCTGTTTTCCCATCTTGGTGTGCAGGACAGAGATAATTCAACGTGCAACAGAGAGGGGAGAGGACAAGTGTGCTACACACCCTTAAATCTCAAATGGAACCCGAGAGAGAGAGAGACAGAAAGACTTGAGCTGGGTTTCCTGCACCTGGCTGCATGTGTGTAACATGAAATCCAATGAAGAGATGTTTCAGCTCTTAGCATCTCAATTATCTGCACTCAAATCTCATCAACACTTGACCTTTTTCCCCACTGTCAAAATACTGCTCTCACAAGCACTTTCACATGTTATTCCTGTAGAAAACTGAAATCAAATATGGGTCAATATATTTGCATGCCTGTATAGTCCCATTAGAGGACAAAAAACCCCATATTTTCATCTGATGAGTTAGGAGAAGACACTTTGAGTGCACAGAGCTCTCTGCTATATCCCAGCCCTGCTGCACACACTTCATGTGATGAGTGTGGGTAATAGGTGACACTCCTGAATCATTCAGACCAAGAGTCTTTAAGGATCTTGCTACAAAAGTTCAGTGAGGTTTTAGTTAAATTGAATTCAATTTCCTCTTAGAAGTGAGAACAGGTTTAATAAAATATACATGGAGGAAAATGAGTTCTACAGTTGTAAGTGAGGACCCAGTAGTTTGACTAGGAATAAACACGAGTATTTTTAGAAGAAACAGTGTGATGCAGCAGAAAAGTCTCTAGAAAGCCACAACTCCTGGCATGTGCTCTTGTATCTGCTTCTGGGCATGGACAAGCCAGTGCAACTGCTGTGCCTCAGTTTCCCTGACAGGCAAGGACAAAGGAGGAGAGTGACACGTATCCATGAGCCCTGATTTGAGAGGACAGCTGACAAACACACTGCACCAGCTCCCTGACCACTGGGATTTATCTGTGGGTCTGCTCAAATCGCTGAAACAGGAAGAATATTCCAGAAACCGACCCCAGAGGAGACTCTCCTTAGCAAATATTTGAAGATGCTTCAAAAGCAACGACCCACCCCTGGGCTACCACAGAGCAGCGCTATGCAAAACATCCCAGCAGGCAGCGACTGCAGCTGCTGCTCTGCTGCCAGCATCCCTGACAATGAGACATCTCCAAGGTCCTCTGACTGATGGCTTTCAAATGCTAATTCGCAGCGTTCCTGCCGTGACCTTTCACACAGCATTTTTTTTTCCCCTGCATTTTTTCCCCTGAGTCTCCTTCGACCTCAGAAAAGCTGGAGAGACACTGTAAACCCAGACGAGGGGCAGAGACTCCAGGATGAGGAGGATCTGGGGGTTTTGTTGAAATAGGGCGTGCCTGCAGAAGTTCACATGTCACTCAAGGGTCTCTGTATCTGGGGAGAAGTGAAATTATTTCCCTTGCACCGTTTTAAAGATTCAGCTGTGAGCAGATGGGAGTGTCACCCTTCACAGCATCCCAGCCTTCTCTCCACTTCAGTGTCTTCCTTCTCACCCTCACCCCAGGTGAAAGTCAAGCCAGACCAGAGCCTTTGGCAGCTTTTCTCCATACTTCCCATCTTTTTTCTCTCTCTCATCTCCTCACCCAACAGCATTCTGTTCTGTGCCATGTAACCCAAGCCCCAGCACCCTCCTGGGACACTCAGCCAGGAGCAGGATTTCCTGTCCCACGTCAGGCATGCGACCTGGACAGCTGAGAGCATCTGAGAGCATCGAGTCTCTGCAGCACTCACAGCCTGGCTGAGAGGAACGGGGCCAGGACTGCTGCCAGTCGTGTCAGCACAGCTAGGAGACCCCACAAAGCACTCTGGCAACAGCCCCTGCCCTATTTATTCATCTTGCACAATTCCCTTTTGTCCCTAATGGAAGAAAAATAATCATCTCCTTCCTACTCCAAGTTGATTTTCACCCACAAACCTCTGAGTGATTTAGTGGCAGTGTCCAGGTAAACACTCCAGACTTTGAAACCGTTCCAAAATCCCTGAGGGAAGCCACAGTTGATAGTAATAACAGAAATTCTCCTTCCCACACCCCCAAACTCCTGCAAGGCAACGTTTTGTCCAAGTAGGAGGACAAACAGTGATCCATCATACTTAGAGACTCAGAATGTGCTTTTTGTTAGCCTGGGACAGCACAGGAACAGAACCTGCAGCAGCACTGTGGCTGCACAGACCTCCCTTCTGATGGATGGTTCCTTCTAACTCACACTGCCCCGTGCATGACAGTTCTGCTCCCACAGAACTGAAGAGCCCACCCAAAATACAACATAAGAGCTCAGAGTCTCTCTTGGACATCTCCTGTGCAAGAACCATAGAATTGTTTAGGCTGGAAGAAACCTTTCAGCTCATTGAGTCCCACCATCACCCCAGCACTGCCAGGTCCCCACTGCCCCGTGTCCCTCACCCCACATCTCCACAGCTTGGAAACCCCTCCAGGGGTGGGGACTCCACCACTGCCCTGGGCAGCCTGTTAAAGAGATGCAGGAGACAATTTCTAAGCTAGGAAAACCAGATATCCAGTGGAAATCTCAGTCCCAGCACACAAACTTTTTAAAATTGTCCATAATTAATGCAGATTTTTTTAGGGAAAG